CTTTGAAAGTCTAGACCTAGATCTTTGATACAAATATTAAGGTTATTTTCGTCACAAGTGCAAACATTAAAAAAAAATAAAAAAAATAAAGCGCGGTATTATATCTAGGTGTTTTCCTACGCGTTGGTTGCTTAAGTTTAATAATGGTTACTTACTCAAGGTATAAATAGTACGTTTTGAAATGCAACAATTTTTTTTTTTTAAATGAACAATACAAAATTCAAATAGGTAAACGTTAAGTGCAATCTTGAAAATTGTATTTATGGCTAAAGAATACTTTGAAAATTATATTAGAAGTGGCTTGGACTAATTTAAAGATCAGCTAAATAATAAAATATAATTTAGCAATAACTTTGTTTTATGGTTTTATTTTGTTTCTAAGTTAAAACAAAGTGGTGAAATTGGCAGAAGGCTAATGTTAAACAAAAAAAAAAATAACTTAATACTTTTATAGTTTTAACGAAATATATATACATATATTACATAATGAAAAAAAAAATGTGTTCAACAAGGTCATTAATAGTGCAAGGAGAAAATCTGAAAAATATGTCATTACTTTTTAGCCTACTATCACTTCTTATTCAAACTTAAGTGCCAAGCTCTTCATATAGTTGTACTTGCTTTTTTAAAGTTTTTAATTTCATTTATCCACTTACAAAGACAGTTATATTTTACATCTTGAAAATCAAGAGTAATTCTCCTCTGTCATCTTCGAATATTAAGACTACTAACTAAAATGACTTAAATAAGTATTAGAGTTAGAGAGTACTAAAGTAACAAAACACATTAATTCAACTTCGCTACCTCAATAGCAGGAAGAAGATAACAACATACCATGTCAATAATTATTGTAAGTCCATAAAGATGAAATATATTTGTCTCTTACCTTCAAATTTAGTGTATCAATTATTTCTAAGTAAAAGTCGATTCTCACTTTTGGCCATTCTTTATTGCATGGCAAGCCAACAATTACAGTAAACACTGATATTGACATTTGTTAAAATAAAACCTAACAGCCCCAAAAGTAATTTAGTAATTGTGATATTGGATATATTTCTCCTTTATAGTTATAGCTTTTAAAATGGTAATATTTTAAATTTCTCAAAACTTCTGACCGTGGGTGCGTAGACCAATATTTGGTACTGTTAAGATTGCTGTTAAGATGTAATCTAAGAGACTAAAAATTAAGATAATAATACAATGGTCTTTTTTCAAAGATCAATCATGGACGAAACGAAAGCAAAAAAGATCTATTTCGTGAATAACTAGTGGATAAAAACTTGTCTGATAATTTGAAGTTACCTGGTGTAGGAAGCTGTATACAGTAATTATAAAAATAAAGAACTTTAAAAATACAATAATGTGGGTGTAGTAAGTGTAGTAAAAAGAGGAAAAATGCATCAACATTATTTATAAACTATTTTTTAATGCTACTAATTTCATTTAAAAAAAGCAAATAATATTATACATTTTAAATATGTTTTCAGCTAATTGTGCAATCTCTTATATATATTACGCTTCTGGTGTGATTCTTGGATTGCTTCCAAATAAACTGCTTCTAATGGACTGCATCCTATTCAGAGAATTTGGAATTGAGAGTATACTACAAAAATTACAAAGTGTTTAAAAAAAAATAAATTATGGCTCTAAAATGAGTTCAGTAGTGCGTAAAATATAATTCCCGATAACTTCGCTAAATGATTTTTTTATAACGCAACTGCGTTTGGCGTGTAATATTTTCTTTTCGGAAAAGGAAATCGTCTCAAATCAAATATGATGTAAAAAATATTAGTTTTAAAAGTTGTTGGGACATCAGAATATTTAATATAGTTCATTCGCGAGGAAACAAAAAAGGGTACAGTAACGCATCATGGGGAAAGTTGTGTTGCAAAAATTGGGATTGTTAAATATGCGTTACTTGATTTCAGGTGTTGTCAAGTAACTTTAGTAAATGGAATGTCTTACGCACTGCTGTCAACAATGCTTGGCGGGCTACATCTAGTAAAATATAATTATCTAACATGTAAAGAAAACTAAGTGAAATTTCAAAAGTTAAAAAGGGGTTCATTTTCATATAATTAACATATTATATATATATATATATATACATGAGGTTCTTTCGTGTAGTTGACGAACGAAAATGTCTGTATGTTGGTGTGCAAAGCAATATTAGCACAACATTTGCATGAGCAACAATCTAAATGCATTAATAGAGATTGCCGGTTGTCTTGGTTACGTTTGCTTTCTTTTTATTTATTTTTTATTTTTTTATGTTTCTTGCTACATGATACCTTTAGAGTAGCAATACCTCGGCAAAGAGCTCGCTAATTTTTATCAAGTGTCTAGCCTTAATCAGAACGTCCCACAGTAATGTAAATCTAAATTTGGCAGCAAACTTTTTTCATTTGCACCTGGTGGTTTGTTAAACCACGTTCTCTTCCAAACAGCCGCATAGCTTAGCAGGGAAAACATACACATGGTAAATAGATGCTGTAGGAGACATGCCTATTGGCTTTGACGTTCCTTTTCCCATCAATATTCAATTGATGTTTAAGGAATATTTTGCTTGAATCTCGGTTTAATTGTCATACATATAGTTTCGAATATATGAAAAAATTTGAGTGCATCCTTATAGATCAATATAACTCAAAAAAATAATTACAATTAATTAAAATAAAATTATGTGTGTAATGTATACATTTTGTTATCATTCTACACTGGTGTAATGTATTCCTTTTTTTTCTATTGTTGCTGTTTGAATGACAGTATAACAGCTATTGTCTTGCCCATGTGATTCGTTCACAGGTTGAATATATTCTTCTGTCTAATTGGTCTCTTTTACAACGGTATTTATATCTTTAATGTTTTCTGGTGTTAATACAGAGGCTAAAGTATTGTAGCTATTTGTGTAAGAAAATACATATGACTCGCCCAGACAGGTATATGGTGCATATTCTTTCTTGCGTTCGACCATGGATACTTGACTTTGATCAGTTGACTTCATCTTGATTTTGTCGTTATTTTGAAACTCAGTAACTTCGTGAATTATATACTCATAAACATGACTCTTTGGGTTTTATTTCTTTTACATCTGTATGAGCTTTAAAAAAAATAATTAAAAAAAATAACCTATTTTAAATTTGATTTATTATTTTTTTTATTAAAAAGGACACAAAAAAATGTGTCCTTTGTTAAAAAGAAATGCAATAAATATGTTAATAATATTTTATAATTAAATGCAAATGCGTTAACATAAGTTTTACATAGTACACTTTCCTTTAGCACATATTTTATTTGCATGAAAACATTTAAATCTGAAAACTTTTAACGTTACCTTTTCTTTTTAAGCCACACCACAGTAAAATACCTATTAAGATTGCAACTACGATTACAACAAGGGCAATATCAAGAGGCTGTATTAATAGGGACGTATTCTGGTTTATCAAAGGCATCACATCTTTTTAGAAAAAAAACAAAACAAATCATTTCAGCCCTGTATAGCAGATAAATTATAAAACTCTCGAATAAATTAGGGACACGTATTTATTACACCACAATATCCTTAAACTTTTATCCGTGCGTATTCAGATTAAATCTTGATGCTCTAAATATAACATAAATTTAAAAAAAGTTTGACATAATGTGAAATATTGAAATGAAATTACTAAGGAATGAATTTTTAAAAGCAATTTTTATTTTGCTTAAATTTTCTATGACAATCACACCTTATTTCATACAAACTGATTGCTTAACAACAAAAAAAGATAGTTATTTAAGTGTGACAACAAAGGAAGCGGTGTTTGCATGATAAGAGAACAATATTTCTTATGCTTTTTGTTTTTGCATTGTCCAAAGGTGATTTTTTAAAAAAAAATGTATCATTAATAATGTGTAGTTTTCATAAAACTCATTAAAATCTTCTTTATGAATTTTGATTTTAAAAAACATTTAAAAATAATTTTGAAAGAAAATCAACAATAAAAAAATATAAACACATATATAAAACACATTTATAATTACTTACCCAAATCGAAATATAGGAATCCATACGCGTTGTATGACATATCCGAGTCATCATTTGTGACATTTGGATACATGGTTACGTTAATATAACGTACAACACTAGTATTTTGCAGTGGAGCAAACATAGAGCAGTTAATTGAGTAATACATTAGTTCACCTAGACTCTCTTCATTGATTACTTGTACTTGAGTGATTTCTATGACTGACTGTTGAGAAAAATGCATTTAATGAAAAAATAATGCTTTACTTGCCAGGACTCCTTTGATACTTAAAAAATGGGTGTTTATCTTTACTTACATCAGATCAAATATAATAATATTATCCCAGCCTCATGTACATATTCATACATAATTCATAATTTATCCTCACCAAAATATTGTTCCCATGTCCACAGAGCATATTTACATTACGCACTAATATTGTTTATGGGAGTGTTTATAGAAACTTAGTAAAATGTATATAGAAACAAAAATGGACTTGAGCGAAAAAGAAATTCAATAATAATATTGATTTTTTTTTTAAAGTGCCAATTAATTTAATTCAAATTTGAAATAATATATATTCATATATATATATGTATATATATACGTATATATATGTATATGTGTATATATATATTTATATATATATATATATATATATATATATATATATATATATGTATATATATATATATATATATATATATATATATATATATATATATATATATATATATATATACGTATATATATATATGGTTACTTTCATTTAATCGGTTTCAATCTATTTATTAAATTTGATATGACTACTTTGTGAAGACGTTGGTATATTTTAGAAGGAAAATATACTTTAAATAAAAAGTGTAAATAGCAAAAAAAAAAAAAAACGTTCACATCTAATGGAACAATTTTCATTAAAGCATATCCTAAGACCAACATTTATTGTACTCATCGTAAATCGGCAAAGTCCCTTGGGAAAGATTTTTGTGGCTGAGCATGTGACATTAATTCCTTCTTTCAATATTTCTTTTTTGCATATTAAATCTCTGGCTTTAGCTGAAATATTTAAATCACAAAAAAATATCTTAAAGTAAAAGTCATTATGTAATTATACATTACTATGTTTCGTTTAATTTCCTTTTCGCGATTTCTTTCGTAATACTTTGTTGGTTTTTTTATAGTTTTTTTTATTAAACTTTAAGATTATTTTAATTTTATATCGCTATCGAAAAATTCGTATCTTGCTGTCACTCAACCTTAAGATATTCTTTAGTGTACTGACAATGGTGAACAATGTTTTCTGTGGGGATCATTTACCCTTAAACTTTGCCTTTAAACCCACGAAATATTATGGGTTGTGAGTTAAAGATTTAGAAGAAAAATACACAGACGTATATTGCTTAGGTATCAAAATAATGTTGAGCTTTAAGACTTCTAAGCTCAAAAATGAAATTTAAATGTGGCGATTGTTCATTAATTAAAGGAAAAGGGTATCTGCAGAATCTTACTGTTTTTTCAAAAAAGTAGCTTACTATTTTTTTTTTAAGATGTAATATACTAGAGAAATTGTTAGTTAACAAAAATGCAAACTAGTTATCTTATACAAAAAAACTGTAAATAATATAAAACGGTTAATTTTATATCTGCATGACATAGATTTTAAAATGATTTTATTAATAAAAAATTTAGCCATTTTAAATTAAACTTTATCTATAAACTAATTTTATACATACCGAAATACTTTATTTCACAAACATTTGTTTTCTCCAAAAGTGGGTCATTTATTGAAGCTGACAGATATGATAAAGCACTCTTCCTACTTGCATTATAAATCTCAATCTCGACACTAAAATTACATGTAATCAGAAAGTCTGTCAAGTAAATGTTGAACTCTTTAGGAAAGTTGGTAGTGCAATTTTTTTCATCCACGTTACATGTTCCAATCAATTTAGTTGTTGAAGATATTCGAATATCTTTTATCTCCCTTTTTTCATTTCGAAATATAAACCGTATATGGTGGGCTTGATGTTCTTCAGCTGGCTTGCATGATGAGTCTCCATTCACTATATTATAAAATACGTAAGGTAATAATAAATCAAATTTGATTAAGTTCTATCAAGTGGGTATTAGTAAGCTTGAATTCAAATTTGAAATTATTTTTTTTTTAGTTTTATCATAGTTAACATCATTGCGTTGTGCACAATTTAATCTTAACATAAGTATAGATGCAAATAGTGTTGTTTTGACATAAACAATGAAAAATGATGTAATGTAAGCTGGTGTGTCAATATTTATGGAGCAAGAAAAAAGACGTTTCTGTAAAATAAAAAAATAAAAATTAAAATGTAACAGTGGCAATATTTAAACATGGTCCAATTTTAAACGGTAAAAAAACATGAACGTTGTGATGACAAATTTGCATAAGTTTTGCATTTTTTAAAAGGCATACAATTCTATTAGTTTCATTATTTATATGTATATTTGTATAGGCACATCTAAATGGAAGACATATTGCGCTAATTTCTACTTGCTGTTGAGAATTATAAAAATCTAAAAAAGTTGTACATATGGAAATGTATCGATAATATTTCAACGCAATTAAACTGTATTTTCCAATGTTGGTTTAATAAATATTTATTTATTGAAAAAAAAATTATTAAAACTCTTTCTAATTACTGTAATTTCTTCGGAAATAAAAATAGAATGTGCAAGTTGAAAATATTCTCTTTCTCTATTATGAAACATATTTTGGGAGGAAGGGTACATATTTTTTCATTAGTTTTAACACATTTTTATATGAATCCTTTTGATTAGCTTTAAACTACCTATTTTTTCCAAATTTTGGTGAGAAAATAATACCCTTTGAGACATAGACTTTCCAATAAAACAAGCCCGCCCATTGTGTAACGTATCTTGTGCTGATATTTTCTAAAAGCAAATATGCAAGCCTCATATAGTATAAATAAAAGGACATCTGAGATGGTCACCCAACCTAGGTAAACTACCACACATTTTTGGCACGCGCTTCAACTATATTAACATTCTTATATCCCCACCACCTCCAACACTTAATGTAATTCATTTTAAAAAAATCAGTTTTTAAAAGAATGTTGTGATATATTTATTTTTATTTTTAAATATTTTTTGATTTGGAGACATTTATATGTGAGTCCACTAAAAAAAAATATTACGCTGGTTAGTAACATTACGGGTGATTTCATTTTCAGCATTATGGATTTTGCAGTTACGTGGTGACACTAGATAATTCTTATAAAGGATATTATTACCCGACAAAAACGGGATATATTGAAAGTTTGATTAAATGTAGTTTTAGCAAATATTTAATCGGACTTTTCTTACTTAAGAAAAATATAAATATTAATGTTTCATTGTTTCTAACACTATATAAATTTATGAAATATTCATCTGCTATACAATATAAACATTCCCTAATAATTTTCCCACCCATTAAATACAATTTTTATTAGATTTATAAAAAAAGACATGTCTTCACATTTACACAAAACATCTGTAAAACTTTTTATACATTTGTAACATGAATCAATTTTTAATATATTAGGATCTTCCATAAAAATTTATACAAAATTCTTGCATCTATTCCCTAATACATTTTTGGAAGATCGTACAACACATAATGCTTATATCTAAAGAAATATGTCTAAACAAGTTTCACTGATTTAACAGCCTTGAGGTTATTTTTGAGAAATATTTTTATGAATATAAAGTTATATTCACTTGTCATTGAAGTTTAAATTTTGCTAAGTGAACAAAGTTATTTAAATATTTTGAGGGAAAATCTTAATCCATCTTTGTTTAGGCCACTTTAAATTAAAAAGTAATAAACTCTTTTTAAGAGTAAATTTTCACGTGTGTTAAGGGGGGAGGTACACCCTGAACATAGGTCGACTACTAAAAATATAATTTAAAAAAAACTATTAAAATTACAACTGTAAAATGTTCACTTAAGCTAGATGAATGGACATACTACCATAGTAACAAATAAAATAACCATTACCAAGTGATACATAATAGTTTTTTTTGAATTCGAAAAAATTAAATAAAATGTGGTACTGGAAATTGGCATGTCAGACTAAAAAAATTAGTAAGAAAGTTTTAAGCTCAAATTTATTTAGTTTTTTTCCACCCAAAAAAATATGGATTGGCTATGTCAGCAACTAAAAAATGTAATTGGGTGAATACCTTTTGTGCAACAGCATCCTAAAATCTCTTAATTTTGACATGTTAAAATCAAAATTTGAAGGACTGTAAAATTTTTTTGTATTAATTTTATTGCAATATGACTAGTTCCTGACATAGACAATTATATGAAATAGCAAGATGGAAAATGTCAAGCAAATTGGTTAATATTTTAAAAAGTTATGATTAATAATGTGAACTAAACATCGACATTTTTCGAATGCCCATTCAATATTTTTTCATTAAATTTTTTTTTTCTCATACCTTAATGACCCCCTGCAAGATAAGGATGGCCTTCAGCTTCAACTTTTGCCTCCTCTAACCCTAATTTCATTGCTCGTCTGGCTCTTCTAGCTTCCAAAGTTGCCTCATTCATCTATTTCTGTGCCTTTGCTATCCGCTTAGCATCTGTCGTAAGGAAATATTCTGGTGTAAAATTACCACAAGACAGCTGCAACAGTCTTAGAGGAGCTTCCAATGCCTTGGCTCCATCATTAAAAAGAAGAGTTTGCTAATCCAGCAGCAATGTTGACAGCTCTTAATCCATGATATTTTTTTAGGACTAATTTTCCATATCAAGACTCGTTCGCGTTTTGAGTATATCCATCTAGACATTTTGTTAGAATGCTTGGTAGGAAAAGGTCTCGATTTATTGATTTAATTACATCCATTACTGCTTCTGGTAAATTGTTTTTGTGCTTGTATGGTTGTTTTGAAGCTACCGCTTTTTTATACGGACAGCAAGAGTCATTGCATAGTTTATGCATAGGTTAAAAAATTACCCCACTCTCATCTTGATAAATTGGATGTTTTTTCACGAAATATTTACAATACATTTTTAGTAGAGTTATATTTACTTAAAAACATGATCACAATTTTGATCCTCGCCTCTTAGCTGTCTCTTTCGAAAATAATGAAAAATCTATGACGTAAATTTTGAACAAATTTGCTTCCTTTATATACCACTAGCGAGTACCCGGCATGCGTCTCAATGCCACACAAAGAAAGAAAATGTTTGCATGTTAATTATGTTTCTTCAAGAGCTTTTAAATGCTCAAAGTTTTTCTTATTTTTCCATTTGGTATATACACGAATAAATCAGAAGATTTTCCGATGCGAGAGCAGGCCTTATACATCTGTCCATCGGCGTAGCATGGGTTTTCCAAATTTAGTCCGCAAATTTAAAGCGATTGTCCCTGTGCTTTGTAGATAGTCATTGTAGACGCGTGTCGCTTTGGAAACTGTAGGCGTTTGAATTCAAATGGCATATCTGTTGGAATCATTGGGGTGAATGGCAAAAGTACATCATCTAGTTTAAATTTTCCATTTAAAATAGTAACTTCAATGGAACCGATTTCGGAAGATTCATTTGATCAAATGTACCGTACCTAATGCTTCGATATCAAAATGCGTTTCTCGTTGCAAATCAAGAGCGAAAAGTGTGTTTGCAGATCGATTCTGGGAGGTCATTGTCAAGGTCATGAAATCATGAGGTAGTGTGTGTGTGTTGATTTGAGGACGAATGCGGATTGTGAACTAATTTCATGTCACGGGCGAATGATAGTGGAGTGAACGAGGCATGAGATTTGGGGTATAAAGGGTTCACAGACGGGAGAGTGAGAGGGCGAATAATTATTATGTCACGGGGGATTACGTTCAGAGGTTAGACGAGAGATAGGACGCGCTACAGCGAGACGTCTTTCTTTTGGGAGATAGTGGATTTTGTCATGATATGTTTTGCTGATTGGAATATTGCCATATACGTTGGATTCATGTTCACTAAACTATGAGACGCATTAATCTAGTAATGCGATCAGCAAATAAATGTCTTATGTACCTTGAAGCGTATTGTTTTGATGAATCAACCTAGTCTGTTGTGTGACAAGATTTCCAAGACATGTAAACAAAAGCGAGAATCATAAACCTAACAACGAGCCAAATATTCAACAACTAGAATATTTGACAGTCATTCCCAACTCATGAATCATCAATCGATATGAATAGTATTTCATGGCACTGACTTTCTTATTCGAATTTCTCAATTTGATGTCAAAATGATATCCATCTTCTCCATGCCAAAATAAAATAGGATATTGCAATCAATCGTATGAGCGATGAGTTTCTTAGACTCGCTGAAAATCCCCACTTCTGCGATGAAGAATAATGTCACGTTAGTTAAAATCTTCGCCAACTATAACGATCGCCACTTCATCAATTGTTGGTGCATTGTATTGTCTTTCATGTTGGCCGACAGGTGTTTAGTCTGCTCTAACTATGACTTTGTATCAGTCGGCATCTTTTCACGTGCAATTCTATACATTTGAATTAATTCGTTATGTTGCAAAAATAACGTTTGCATTGCAGCGACGATTTCTCGTTTAGTGCCCGTATTTATATGACAACGTTGATCGATTTGTTCATCAGTATTCCCCATGAAATCATTTGAAGACATTTGTGATCTGTGTTTGGCATTGGCATCAGAGATCCTACACGATGGTAAATGTGGCCTTGCACTTTACTTAAAATGTTGGCTTGTAATTCTCGCGCACGAAACATGAATTGCACTTGCGTATGTTTGCCAAGAAATGTTTCGAATAGCTTGTTTCACTTGATACCAACGATGATAATGGTTCTTGGAATTTAATTTTCCCATCCGCGCAGCAAATTCCCGGTGTTTCGTTTTTAAATTTGAGGGCACTGCAATACACGAATAATTGATCTATTTTTCCAATAACCACACTTGGATAAAGACTGTAATCATAATTAGCATTGTAATTGAAAGTACTAAGATTTAATTCAGCGTGCAGTGTTCGTCTGGATCGAGCAGTGCGTACTCTATCAGAATCCAGTCTTGTTTCTCGCTGCTCGAATGATTCAGACAAACGGGTTTCAGTATTGTTTACTCGGCGGTTTTGAGTTTTGGTTTCTTTTGCTCGAATGTTACAGGTTAACGGTGTTGAGCATTGCGTACTCGAGTGGATTCTAGTCTTGCTTTCCGTTGCTAAACTGTTTGTAAATATCGTGATTATTTTTTCTTTCGTGCTTGAGGTTTAGATTGACCCAAAGTTTTTTTTTGTGTGGCATAATTGATTTGACAGCGAAATTATTGCTTTGTGACATTTGTTATTAGCAATGGTATTTCACAATTAACAAAACTTGTTAGGTCACAAACAAAATGAAATATCGCTGTTTGTATTTGATTCAATTAATTTTCAATATTCCTAACGTTCATAATTTTCACACGTTAGGATCTTCCATCCTTTAACATGAAAACCTCGCACAATAGGTACGTTCATTGTTGGCAAGAGATTTCCAGTTGTATAGTTTTTCATTAATTTATAAATCGTAATTTCCAGCAGTAAAAAAATGACCATAGTTCAATACCTACGTTGTCAAGTGTGTTATTTAATTAGTTGAGAAACCATCGATTCATGTAAAATATATTTTCATAACAAAAAACAACTCCGAAATTATAAGACTCTTTTCAAGAAATACTCTAAGTTGAAAAAAAAAAAGCGCTTTCGATGTCATTTTCGATTCTAAAATACGTCACAAAATTCAAGCTTATTTATACTAATAACAAAAATACTCTCTACACTAAAAATGCAAAAACGTGTTTTCTCTTCTTTACTACAAATGTGTAATTTTTTCAAGTGCGGTAGTGTTGATATTTCCGTTATAAATTATATTGATGAAGCTCATTTAGAAAATAAATTGAATTCACGGTCCCCAGCCCTATTTGGAATATTGTACAATGGATGTATTAAATTTGAAAAAATTCCCGGCGGATTCAGCTACTTCTACACATGCAATAGCTCTGTTTTAAATTATAGTTACAAAGCTCTTGGAAGAAAATATGAAATTAGTGTCACTGGCCCAAACGGAATATTGTAAAATGTTTTTTCTAATATAGAAACATTTTTGGTAGTGCGCATTTCACTTGACCCAGTTTTATCACAATCGAATGAATGGTATAGAAATGCATACGATAATTATATAGATAATAGAAGTATGAAAAACGAATTTAGGGCCCCCCGCCACAAATGGAATATTGTAGAATTATTGTATTACTTCAGAAACCTACTTAATATATCACACACTCAATTTAATATCACTATTTGTATTTGATTAAAAAGCTATCCATCCATGCATTAGCTCTGTTTGAATTTATAGTTGTATAGCTTATACAGAAAAAACGAACATAGGACCCCTGGCTAAAAACGGAGTATTTTAAAATGGTTGTAATCATTTAAGAAACCTTTGCGGGCGTGCGCACAACATCTCTCTAAAATTTTATCGCATTCTAATAATGTAGAGGAGTGCATACGGAAAATATTTTTTTTATAAAGCTCCTAATGTAAGGGAAAAAAAACGAATTTGGGGCCTATTGCCAAAACAACGGAATGTTTTAGAAGGTTATAATTGCTTAGAAAAATGCTCTGGCTTATGGACAACTCACGTCAGTTTTATCGCAAGCGCTTGAACGATGTAGGAGCGCATACGGTTTGAAATTATATTTATATAGCTCATTTTGTAAGAAACAAACATAGGGCCCCTGGCTCAACACTGAATATTTTAAAACGGTTGCAGTAATTTAAGAACCTTTGTGGGCGATAGAACAACATCTCACTAAATTTTTATCGCATTCTGAAAAATAGTATTGGAGCACAAAGAAAATAATTTTTTACAAAACTCATATAAGAAAAAATATGAATTTGGGTCAACGGCCGAAAACGGAATATTTTAAAAGTAATGTAATGAAGGAGTAAAATGGGTATGTTTATAGAAAACAACTCGTGAACGTTTTGTCACAATCGCATAAATGTTGCAGGAGCGCATACGGTTTGAATTTATATTTATATAGCTCGTATAGGAAAAAAACTTAAATAGGGCCACTGGCCAAAATTGGAATATTTTGAAAAGTTTATAATAATTTAGAAACCTTTGCGGCCCACCTTTCAACATTTCACCAAAGACTAATATGAATCGGATAAATGGCGTAGGAGTGCATATGAAAATTATTTTTTACAAAGCTCATATTAGAAAAAATTCGAATGAAGGGCCAACGGCCGAAAACGGAATATTTTTAAAAGTGTTTAAATAACACAGTAAAATGCACTGGCGCATAGACAACAACTCACTTAGTTTTGTAGCAATTGCATGATTGGTGTAGGAGCGCATACGGTTTGAAAATATATTTATAAAACACATATAAGGAAAAACAAATATAAGGCCCCTGGCTCAAAACTAAATACTTTAAAACAATTGTAATAATTTAGAAACCTTTATGGACATGCTCGCAATATCTCATTAAAGTTTTATTGGAATCGGATAAATGGCTTAGGAGACGCATGTGGAAAATATTTTTTACAAGGTCACAGAAAAAAAAAAAAAACGAATTAAGGGCCAACGGCTAAGAAAGGAACACTTATAAGGTTTTTAATGACTGTGTTTAATGGCCATTTATTTGGACAACAACTGATCAAAGTTTTGTTGCAATCGCATGAATGGTGTAGGACCGCATACGAGACATACACACATACACACATTCATTTATATATATATATAGATTTGCAGCTTTTGGGAGTTGTATTTTTTAAGATTAAAAACAAAAATAGATGCGTATTTATTTTTAAAGATTAATATGTTTACGTCTGTCGAATTATTGGGATCTTATTTATTAAAATAGTATATGCATAACACTATCTATTGTATTATGAGGTTAAAATGCATTTTTACGAAATCTATATACTATATTGTCTAATGAAGACAAAAAAATCGGCTTTATATTTTTTCAAGTTTTTTATTTGTTGTGGTGCTAATACTTAACTAAAACATGCGAAAAGACGTAGTCTTGGTAATATGAAATTACGATTTTAGGGTACACCTATCGTTATTGAATTGCCTACTAAAATTTAATATTCTCTATTTTGGGGCAGAGCTAATGCAAACTTCTGTAGTATTTCCAAACCTACAGGGGACTTGACTAGCAATTGCACTATTGTCTATGTCGTCTTTCCACAGGGAGAGCAGCTCGTGCCCCGAAAATTTTAACATTTAAAGTAGCTTTGATTAGGTCAGTTTTCTGTTCTCATTCGGGTAATAAGGCTCATGTGTTTGCTTTGTTATTTTCATCACATATTCCCATTCCTTTATTTGTGTAGCTTTTAATGATAAATATTCTTGGCCGTGTCCAAGTTTTCCCAGTTTCTACATAGTAATAGTCGGTAACCATGATTTGACAGTAGATGGTCATCGGTTATTTTAGTTATGTCGGCAATGGACATGCCTGAAGTCAGCTATTTCATTGTGATGTAGTCACGTATGTCCTGGAATCCCTTGGAGGACCACTTTGACTCGATATGACTTTATGTCTCGTTGTCAACAAATATAACATTTAAAATGTTTGTTCCTTTCAAGTCACTACATACAGTTTCGCCTGCTATCTGCAACTAGTGTGTCGGTAAACACTACGAAGAAAGGAAATGATTTTCTCTTAGTTAATTAGCATGGCACATGTTTCATGGCAACATGTATCGCTTTTATGTCTGCGTCGAAATGTGTGCTGTACTTCGAAATCGGAATCAATATCTGCTCTAAATTCGGATACATATGAGGACATCGTATACCGCGTTATTTGTTAATAATTAAACAAGAGTTGTATATATAGAATTTTACACAGCCTGAAAGTGGCCTATGTTTAAAAAAATCAAGAGGACTCGAATTTATTAAGCCGTATTTGCCATCGGGAAAGTAAATACTTTTTTGCGGGGATTACTCATGGATCAACCGCAGATTTTCCACTTTTTTCCCGTAAATGGCACCTTCTCTAAAGTTTTTTGATTATATATATAGGGGGTGTCTTTTTAGACTCATCCTGTTTCACTTTTTTCATTCAAGGGTATCTTTTTACCTTTGTTAGAATAGTTTTGGCTCTCCTAAAGCTGAGTTGTTCTATATGTAACATAATGACTATGAGAGCTTTCGGTATAGTACTTAAGGCCCCCAACTAAATCTGAGACTAAACCACAAAGAGACATGAAGCTCACAAAGGCATGGGTGGGCAAGCTATTGTCAACCGCCCCAATAACACTCTCACAATAAATAATTCTTATAAAGCTAACAACGGCTGTCTGTTTGTGCTTTCACGAATATGGCTATGAAGATATTGTTGGTCCAAAATCACTATCATTTAAATTGATGCCTTGTCCAGTGCAAGTTTTTTCGACAGATGTGAACAGTCTTTCTTCTTTCGGGGAAATTACTAAGTTAAAACAGAGTACACAGTTTTTCCGCATCTCCCAAAATATTCCACATTATTATTCAAGTTCGTATTTTGATCTAATGAAGCCAGCTCTGTAGTTGCACAATGTAATTTCCAGAGCTCCAGATTAATAAGTTATCGGCAAAATGTTATTTTTCATTGTACATTAAAAGTAACCCGTAGCCTAGCCATTTGCTACCTGGAGATAATATAATAATCCGCCACATTTTGATTTTTATCTTCAGTTAATTAGTTGTAGTTAGGATATACCTGCTTACTCAAATTTAGTACTTCTCCCTCTATTTGGGTAGTAAGAATGCTTTGGTTCTTTCCAAATTGCTATATAACACTTAGCTTACTATTTTTACAGCAGATTTTCCCTCCGCAGGAATTTTGAGAACTCGACCATTTGATTGACGGTAATCCACCTCATTTTTATTCTTTGGGAATAGGGACAACAAATGCTCATTTAACACATTGTTGAGTATGGCTGTTGTCCAGGTTTTAATTATAAGGTCTTAATGTTTCTATCATCCTTTGTTTTTTTGAAATTTCATATGGGCCTAACTTACCACTTCTCACTGCCCTTTAACTAAGAGAATTTATTGTTTTTAATTCGAGAAAAATTCTAAAAACGTGTCCTTAATTGACAAAAAAAAATGTATCAACTTTTTTTAAAAATAAGTCAAATTAACTGCATTGGGTAATTGGTATTTTCATTTAAAAATACTTTTTTTAAAAACGTGTTTGTCACGCTTCTAGTGAAATTGTACAACAAAGAATTATTTTGTCTAAACAATGATATCTCAACTTGTTTCACGTTTATATATGATATTTAAACTGATTCGATTTCTGCAAAATAAAATCAAATCCCTGTCATATTTTTTTTTAAAGAATCAGAACATGTATATATAAATTGATTCTTGTTTTTACAGTTTAATGGTCAGTTAGTTCCTTCCTATATATTTGGGTTAATACTTATATTGAATATGTATACAATATATACAATATATAAGGTATCCGCGGTCATTTTTCATGTTAACAGAGGCAGACATAAAGGGATAACTTATCCACGACTGCACTCGTGTCTAACACTAATACACTGGCGAGAGTTAGGTTAAAAAATATATTTTGTCCGGTTTTTAAAAGTAAATAATTAATCAAGGCTATAATAAATGAATCAAATACTCATACTAGTAATTTTGTATTAATATAAAATTCTCTCTTTCTTTTCATTTATTCTTTTTTTGCAATTTCAATTTGTTTGTTTCCATCTCCTATGCATGTAGATGGGATTTTCAATGTTTCTGTTTCTGGTGTTGATGAGGAAATTTTACTGATTTCCAGTGCAAATTTATGAGGGAATCATGCACTAGATGTTTAAAGACTTGAAGCAATAGACACAAATGTGTCTAGTGTTGTCGCCTGAACCGTTCCTTTTGAGAGATTATTCCAGTCCCTGATTGTCTTGGGCAGGAATGAGCAGCTCCTATACTGGCTTCTTGCTGGTATGAGCCTGAATTACCTGTCATGGCCTCGTCGCTGTCTAAGGAGGAGAGGGGCGAGTTTCTTTTTAATACTGGAACAGTGGACCAGCCCATTATTTATCTTCTATATCATTGATAGCCTGGATTGTCGTCATCGTTTCTCCAATGGTGACCAGCCTAGTGTTTCCAGTATTCTGCAATCTCTAGAGGTAAAGCGATTTAAGACAAAGCGTGCAGCTTGTCGCTGGACCGCCTACAACTTACCAACGCTCTTCTGGGTAAATGGGTACCAGACTGAAGATGCACAATCTAAAACCGGACGGACAAAGGCTTTATATGCTCTTTCTTTCACACAGGAGTTGCCAATCTTTAGATTTCGCCTTAAGAATCCTAGGGTCTTGTTTGCTTGATTACAAACTGTGTTAATATGCTCGTCCCAGCGGACCTCTCTTTGAATGGTAACACCCAGGTACTTTACCGAGGAAACTGGCTGAAGTATATGGCCGTGCAGTTCGTATTGGTAAAGTAGAAGAGTAACACTTCTAGAGACTCATAGTGTCTGGCACGTGGCAGGGTGAAATTCCATGTCCCAGCTCATCTCCCACTCAGCTAACAGATTGAGATCCTGTTGTAGCTGGTCCTGGTCAGATTTGGTGGCGATCGTCCTATACACCACTGCGTCATCTGCGAACATTCTTACATGTTATGTCAGTTTCTCGGGTAGGTCATTAATGTATGCTAGGAACAAAGAGGGGCCCAGCACTGATCCCTGGGGGACCCCTGACTTCACATCGACAAAGGAGGAGCTTGTACCGTCCACCACTACTGCTTGGCATCGGTGGATGAGGACGCTAGAGATCTATACTTTAGTGGTGCCTTGGATCCCATATCTCTGGAGTTAGTGTAGAAGCAAACTATGATTCACACGGTCAAATGCCTTTACGAAGTCCATTACCAGCACGTCAGTCTGCTTGTGATTCTCAAGATTGGTCATCAGGTCCTCTACGAATTCAAGAAGCTGGGTCTCACATGATCTATTGACTAATTTATTTATTTAAAGGGCTGTTGATTTTACGCAGGCAGAGATTATAATGTCACGGAGTAAGCTGTCGGTTTACAATTCTTTTGGTTTCCGAGAAGTTTTATCCACATTATTTTAGCACCATGTAAAATAACGTTTTGAAAATAAATAAAAAAATAAAAAATCTTGTTTTTGACAAAATATTTTCAGGAGAAAATATGTTTAACAGCTGCTTAATATTTTAAAATAAAATGTTTCTGTTTAAATTATATATCACTTACCTTCCAGTACTGAATAGATGTAGGTAATTAAAACACAAATGTATGTAGCTAAAAAAATCTTCATTTTTTTTTGTTTTTCGTATCAATGTTCTCTCACATACCCTTGGTGACTTTAATATAAAACTGAACCTGCTTATTGAAGTTTGAACCGATATCATCACAATTTAACTTCCCTGATCAATGATGATAATATTTTGAGTTTGTTTATATTTGTATGATTAATTCGATAACTACTAGATGTTTAGTTTTATGATTCAATATTTTCCGTTTTCTTGTCCGTCATGGTCAATTTGATTTTGAGTGTTTGTTAATTTTTTAATGATTTGAACGAAGAAACAAAAAAATTAAACGCCATGTACATTAAACTGTATTTATTTATAGGTGCCTATTTGCTGTTGGCTATGTCGGTGGTTTGAACAGCATATATTTTACGAAAATAGACAAAACTTGATGGAAATGTTACTTTAGTTTTATATAATAAATATATTTATTTACGCTTAATAAATTTTACTCGATATGTTGAAGTAATACTCTGTTAGATTCCAAGCCTCCAGCTCACAGTTTTGAATACTCTGACGAAAATTGTAAGCTTTCCACCTACCTCATACATTCCACAATATAAAGCATGTCAACTTTGGCATCTGCTATTGTTAGTTTATGATGCCAATATTATTAAATGGTAGCGCAGTCGGACACCTGGTGACTTTATCTACCTGAGTAAAAAAGTATCGGTGACCGTCCTAACTCTCTGGTAAAATAAGTCAAATGAAATCGATTGACGGGAAAAATAACATAGGGACCCTCGACAGTGGAAGTCATGATAACCATCCATAGCTTTAATAGATTCTGGAAAATATCAAATGAATATATTGCATCATCGAGTATTCCTTGCCAAATATATATAGTATAAAGGACAATCGTCAACAGCTCTGACCAGAGCCAGCTTCAACAAGACCTCAATCGGTTAGCTGAGTGGGAGATGAGCTGGGTCATGGAATTTCATCCCGTCAATTGCCAGACCCTGTCAGTCTCCAGAAGCAGATTCCCTATAAACCACTCTTACGAACTGCATGACCATAGTCTTGAGCCAGTGCATTGCCCCGGAATCAAACAGAAACTCGTTCATCTTCGCCCTAGACTGCGACGAAGCCATGACAAACATTTACGGCTGGTAAAAACAAGAACAAAGTACAGAAGCTCCTCATTCCTGCCGAAGACAATAGGGGACTGAAACAAGCTTTCAAAAGAAACAGTTGAGGCAGCTACACTAGACACATTTGTGTCCATTGCCTCCTGTATTCCAACCCCCAGTTCATAACACCACTGCTGAGTCGCCCTTGCAACCAGTGAAGTATCCCATTGAAACCCCTGGACAGTAACATCGCAAACCCCTCTGAAACATAGGAGCCGGAATGATCAATTCATTGATCGTGGGCCCTTAAAATAAAGAAGAAGAAGAAGAAATATAGTTGCTAGTGATTCTCCAAATTCATCATCTGCTGTAATATTATAAGCACAAGACATTACATCCAGCTTGGCTTATCTCGACGTACCTTTTCTGTACGTTACCTATAAACAAAATCGCATTTACGCTAAAACAATAATATATTATAGTGCTTTGAATAATCATATTTGGACAACGAGCCAGTGATGACGCATTATTGTTAGAGTTCTATGATGGTATCACAACTCAATATTAGATGGCTCTTCTACGAAACACACTTTTAATGATGATAATAATCGGTTATTTTATCATGTGTTTTGATCTAATTGAAGACATTAATGTTCAAAGTATCAAGGTTAAAAAATACACATTTTGAGATGATCAATTTCAAATATTATTTCGTCTATAAAATGTCAACAATTTTTTTTTCCTTAATAGCTTATTCTACTTGTATGGCAGTTATTATACTTTCCAAGAAATACAGCCACACACTAATGAGATCAATTTTCTCTACATAGGATTGTGTGTCCTTTCTATGTCAGGTTCTAACTCTTCAGAAGAAGAATTTTATCTTCTATTATTGTAATGCATGTTCCACGTTCATTATTGAAATTCGATGAATGTCATTTTTGTTTCCTTGCCCGTTCATTAAGAAGACCCACAGCTCTTTCCTCATCCAAAACTACATGTAGCTCCTTCCGAAAAACAGTTTCCGAAAATGTGTAAAGGGAATTTTTAAAGGATAGTGGTTGAAAAAATGTTCAATACATACTAATAATTTTTCTCAAAGTTGATATTTTGACAAAATTTAAAGTAAGCATTTTAAGTTTAGCCGCCAGTGTCAAAAGTAAGACGAACGTAAGGTCATAGGCAGAACAATTTTTGCATCCCAAAATACAGTACTTACACGCTTGGAGCTATCGACCCCCTGAGAAAGCATATTCCAGTTTAGATATATGCCTAAGAGTATTGAAAGATTTATGAGTCTTTATGTATCCCTGGATCTTCTGGTCCATTATTGTTGTTGCCCTCATTTTTCACGGTATCAATATTTATATTCTCTAGCTTCCTGTGTTCCCACTTTTGGCGACACTAATGGATACTTCTTGAGTGGTTTACTGTGATCTGTTCTTTGTTATATTTTCATTTCTAAAGTAAGCTGAAAAATGCTATATGCCGAAACGTCCATGTTTTTTGTCCTGTTCTCTAAGTTTCCACATACCTCGTTTTGCTATTTCATTCATTTACTAGGCTTGAATGCAGTCCATTCATTTAAAGTTTCAAGAAATATTAACAAGCACTCTGACCGGTTAGACAAATAATTAATGTGTTTTTAATGAAATTATTAATACTGAATATAATCGCAATAATATGTGCAAATGAATTTAACTCCTTTTCCAATACAAATTTTTGTATCTCAATTTGAGTCACAATGACAGAAACCACGAAACTGAGACTGAAATGTTCCCGATCCCAACACTTTTTTTTTTTTTTGGCTAGATTCTTGCAATTTTTTATATCAACATTTTTTATATACTAATTTGAGCATTTACAAATTAGTCAATCAAATTTTATAGAACGTGAATCAAATCTTTTGTACATTTTCTCAGTGGCAAAACTTCTAGATAGATTTAATGTATAAAGCAACATTTTAAACTGATAATTATTTTGCAACGCATTACTGCGCACCCATGTATATATTTTAAGAATTAAATATTGCTTTAATTATGTTTGCATGGAATATCAAATTAAACAGTTTTTAAAATCACTTTTTTTCTTACAGTTCAAAACACATCTTTTCTTCAAAACAATTCTTTCACGCACTTAGTTCGATGTCGATTTCTAGATAATTTTGCAAGACAGATTTTTGTCTTTGTTATTTGCTGGCCTTTTCTCTGTCGTTTTACCATTGCTCTAAGTAAAAGTTTGTTTACATAAGTCCTCATAAGCAAAAAACCTATTTTTTAAAATCTCTATTTTTGAGAATATAGTAATTGGCTTTTAAATCTTTCATTCCAAATAGTATTTTATAACGTGTAAGTTAATTTAAAATGAATAACAAACATTTTGACTTAAAATAAATTAGTTGCCGACATAATTTGCATCATGGTGTTCATAAGTCCTTAGGCCGCTTGGGCGCCGCTGATGACATTAAAACTATACCCCTCCATTCCTCACTGTTTTCTGCACTTCGCACACCATCGCCTAGCTTCAGTTCGGTCCGCGCTTTGATGCTATTTTCGTTATCTTTTTCTCCCTCCTCTAGTTGTGCCCTGCATGATTTCTTTGGTGAGACTTGTTGTTTGTTTTTTCCAAGTGGCCATACCATTCCAGTTTGCGTTAAAAAAAAAAAGGAAGGAGGTCATTATACCGCCGAAGTGCTTCACTAAATTTTTCATTCTCTAGTTCGTTAAAGATATGGTTTGTAAAGCATATTCCAAGAATGCTTCTAAAAGTTGTATCTCTTTGACTTTATTTTTCTTCCAAGTTCTGCTGTTGATGTCTACGACTAACAGGCATACAATAAAATCGGGAGAACAATTTAGCGTATCAGCCTTAAGTTGCTGCTGGGGGCTATATTTTTGTCATTGCATATTTTTTTTTAAACCTCTTTAGTGCTGTTGTGGTTTGCGCAATCCTGGACATCCAATATGGCTTGAAGCCCAATTCCAAGACTATTGCTACTAGATATTTCAAGCTGCCAACTGTCTCTAATCTTTCCTCCCCGACATTAATTTCATTGGAGATGCCAGTGGTGTTATTTGTCACCAATTGTTTCTTTTCTGTTCTTATTTGTATTCTAAAGGACTATCAAGTTTGTCGAGACACTTTACTAGGTCGGCTAGCTCTTCTTTGTTTCCAAGCAGTCCATCTAGGTCATCCGCAAAAGTAGGTTGTTGATTGTTCTTCCACCAATGCTGACTGTTCCTACTTGAGCCTCTAGTGCATCTGACATAATGCGCTAAAAGTAGATGCTGAACAATGTGAAGGATAGCAATCAGCCTTGTCGTACTCCAAACATGGTCTTGAACCTTTCTCCGATGTTATTATTGAAGAAGACTATCTGCACTGGGTGCCATGTCATAGAGTCTGCGTTTCATTCTGGTTAGGTTTGCATTGATGTTGTAGTGCCTGATGGTGGTCCATAAAGCAGCATGCCGAAACCTGCAAAATGCCTTCTTGAAATCCACTATGCTATGGTATAGGTTTTGTTGGTTTTAAGCATATTTCTCACATAATATGCGGAGGTTTAGGATTTGCTAAATAGTTCAAAGGCGTTGCCTGTTCTTTAGTAATGATTCTGTCGGCATATTTTCTTAGTCGCTTCAACATTGCCTTAAGCAAAACCTTGCTTTTGTAGCTTTTTAAGCTAATTTTGCGATAGTTTTGGTATAGCTGAATGTTAACTTTCTTGGGGAGGTTGATGATGAGCAATTTGGTCAATGATTTTTGCCAGCCATATGTTGTTAAAAATATCGAGTAAGGCACATATTACTATTTATCTCCTTGTTTCACTAACTTGGCATGGATTTTATCTACTCCTGCGGCCTTTCTTATTTTGAATGCTTAGAATGCTGCTTCCTCTTCTTTGCGATGAAACGTGTAGTTTTCATTATCCATTGCTGGAGGGTCATTAAAGATC